GTAACGTGCTAGAGTAAGTTTAAGTGTGAAACACATAAATTCAGAGCATAAGAACTAAGTGCAGTCAAGTAGGACCATAACTAAATTACAACACCCGCAGGTGAGTCCTACATTTATGTAGTCTGTCAGTACGCCGTGGGAATCCTCATGGGCCACCAACGCTGCTAACTAGAACCTGGAGGGGCGCAAAACAAAATTGAGTGGGTCAATAAAACCAAAGCTTTTCGAAAACATTTCATCAAAAACAATTCTAACCTCTCGCTGTAAAACCTGTATAATTTCCCAGAAAATAACATAATAGTATATAATTCCTCATATATCTCAAATCATTAATCTTTATCAATTCCAGAAAATATGCCATGCCATAAATGTCAATAACAGATTATGAATGCATCAATATAACAGGTGACATAATGAATCAACCGGAGACCTTGCAGTTGATCATGTACGGTTAATTCCATAGCTTAATATCCAAACCAACCGGAGTCACCAAGGTGACCTGTACGGCACTACTCTGCACATAAGTCGGAACTACCTGAAGTAGTCTGTACAACAAGAATGGTGTAATAATACGCTCTAGTGCTTCTCTCAACAATCATCTATGCACATAATCTAAGGTCACCTACCAGTCGGAACCACCTCTAGTGATCTGTACGACTAGCATGTCGGAACCCTCTCATGGTCTGTACGACATGCACCTACTTGGATCCAAGGTGAGCGTGCGATGCGGTGAATACTATAAGCACTAACACCAGGTGAGCGTGCGGTGCGGTGAATACTATTCACATCATCAATTCACATCATCAATGATTCACATAAATAACATAAAACTCACCTGATACTTACATGTGCGTTCACAGCACCAATTCATATATATATATATACATCAATTACTAATTCATATAATTCATAATATGCATGCATGGAATTTGAAAACATACTTTTATTTAAATTCAATTTCTGGGAAAAATCAATAGTATATAGGTAATAACAGAAAATAACTGCCCACTCACTGATAAGTCGAAGGGTCGTAACCCCCGTGACGCCCTTGAATCCGCTCGTCCTCAGGATAGGTATCACCTATATGCGAAACAACTAAAACAACGTTATTTAAAGCACATAACCGACAATTCGTAATAACTTCTCATACGGTGCTCAATTTGGGTATATGAATATACCACAGTGACCTACTCGACGTCACGGACGTCGAGGTATTTTTAGAAAAAAATTTCGAGGTCGCACGCGCCCCCACGCGCCGGGAGGGGCACGGACTTACGCGCTCCACGCGCGTCATCTTCTTCCTCCAGTCGCCGGACTGGTTTTTCCGGTCACCGGAAAACCGGAGATTTTTCAATTTCCTTGTTCTCCGTCATTTCTCAACCATTTTTCACGCATTTTATATCAAAATGAAGCCCTAAGCATGTAGAATCACGTTACACTACTTTAAGGCTCTAAAAACTACAAAATCTCACCGGAGAAATTTCAAGAAAACCGACCAACTTCGAACTCAACGATCCCGCGTCCAAAACCTTCAAACTAAGCACTCCGAGCTTCTTTAGGACCTCACTAAGCTCACTATAAGCTTAGAATTCCCTGAAAATCAACACATCACGAATGCATGAACAGTACTCAAATCGGACCTCGAGTTTTGAACGTGATATCGAGGGTTCTAAGTTCTAAAAATGGTACCATTCAACTCAGGAGGTCGAAAGGATGAAGAACCTTACCCTTTTGGCGTCGATCCGTGATGATTGGAGGTTTTATGCTTTGGTCCATACGTTTTCGAGAGGGAGAGAGTGAGACTGAAACGGAGAGGAGAGAGAGAGCACGGGGGAGAGAGAGGAAGGGTTTGACTCGTGTGTATGTGTGTGTGGTCCATCCCAAAATAATCACCATCCATTTCCTTAACTCCCTAACCACAAAAATACAACCTTATCCAATTTAAATTTTCCAAAACTTAGGAAATATTCATATTCAATAACATGCCACACACATACCTTAGTAACCGTCAAGGGTACTTTCGTCATTTCACAACCTCGATAAATAGAATCTCGGGACGGGCTGTGACATATTGACCTATAAATGAACGATCCGTAATAAATACTCTTGAGTGTTTGAATGTTCACCAATTAAGAATTGCGGTAGTCTGAAAATTGTGATAATTCTTTGAGATGTTGATAGTTTTTATTTTTTTATTTATTAAATTGTTATTTACTACTATATCCTTGATTATTTTCTTAAACACAGATTAAACCCCCTTGTTTGTAAGGATTATAACCTACATTTAACCTTCTTTAGTTGATAAAGTGAATTCTCTTAGCATAAAGTAGGAAAATTATAATAAAATAAGAGAATGTAGTAGAAAAATGAAACATATAAACCTGATTGTTTTGGCTTAATTGGAACAGCATCAAAGAGTTACACCAGCTAGAAATTATAATTTGAAATAATTAAAATTAGTTTTAAAATTAGTTTAAATTTTAACTAGCTTACCATTGGGAGTCTTGCTCTCTTAAGGTTCTCGTTTAGAGGACCTGGACCAAATGTATATTGACACACCTCGACCGAGATCGAGGCATGCTGGCCATCACGTGGAAGTGACGTAACCATGTGCACAGTGCGGAAGCAATAAAGATATAAGGGAATTTCGAAGGAATAAAAACCAAACTACTAGCCAAACTAGCTAAGATAAAGTGCTAGTGCGAGATTAAGGGTGAAATACACAACCAGAGCATAAATATCCTAAGTGCAGTCAAGCAGGACAAGTGCTAATTATACAACACCCAAGGGTGATCCTACATTTATGATGTTATGTCAGAACCCCCGTCGAAATTCTCGTGATCCACCAAAGCACTTCTACCTAAAACCTGGAGGGGCGCAAAACCCAAAGTGTGAGTGGGCAAAAACAAAGCTTTTCAAGATCATTTCATTTCTCAAAAGTTCTAACCCCTCGCCATAAAACCTGTATAATTTCCCAAAAAATATAATATAAGCTATATAAAAAATCATGCTCAGGATGAAAATCCATAGAAATATACCATGCCATAGTATTTCAATTAATGCTATAATTAATCCAATTAAAATGTATCAATGCTAGATATCAGTCAACCAAATTTGCCTATGTGACCTGCATGGCTAAATCTATAGCTCATAACCAATCTCAATCATATCAAATCAAATAAAATCCTGCACACAAGTCGGAACCACCTAAAGTGGGATGTACGACAAGACTAGGTGTAAAATAAATATGCTCTAGTGCTACGATCACGTGACTTTGCGAATAATCGCGGGTTACCGACGAGTCGAAACCACCTAAAGTGGTCTGTACGACAAGCCTGTGCACCTAACTTGGATCCAAGGTGAGCATGGTGTGGGAGGTGAACATCACGTGAAGGACTGTGCCCTAACTCTGGGCAGGAGCACTAACATCGGGGTGCAGGTTTATGAGCTCTCAATACATCACATCATATCTCACATATTTGAAGTCACCTCATGTCCTTAATTTACGAACTTACCTGTGCGTCCGCAGCACCAATCATAAATATATGCAACTACTAATGCATAAATAAAATAGGCAGATACTTTGCATGGCATTTCAAAACGTATAATCATTCAAATTCATTTTCTGGGAAAAATCTCAAGTATATAGGTATATACGGAAAACCAAAAGCCCACTCACTGATATGTCGAAGGGTCGTAGCCCCCGAGCCTCGATTGATGGCGCTCGTCCTCAGGATAGGTCTCACCTATATGCGAAATAACTGAATAAACGTTATTTAAAGCACATACACAAAACTAGAAAATAACTTCTCATACAAAGCTCAAATGGGGTATTTGAATATACCACCATGATCTACTCAACCTCAGGAACATCCCCATATTTTTAGAAAAAAATTTCATGACTCCACGTGCCCTCACGCACCGGCCAAGGCATGGCCAAATGCTCGGCTCACGCGCAAGCACGTGCCTAGCACACCAAACGGATTCCTTAATGACGTTAGGGAATATTCCGTTAAAAATCAGAACATGCTGTTAAAGTTACCTGACGGCGTCAGAATATTCCGTTAACTTTGACGGAATATTCTTCTCCTTCTTCCTTGGTTCGTCGGAGTCCGGCGCCGATCATCGCTACAATCGTCGAAAACTGGGAAAATTTAAAACTTCAATATCTTCTTCATTTCTTCACCAAAATTCATGAAATTTGAACCAAATTGAAGCTTAGGACTAGAAGAACAAAACCTTACCACTTTCAAGCCTTGAAATCCACAGAATCTCGCCGGAGAACCCTTGATAATCCGGCCAAAATTTGAAACTTGTCAAACTCAACTTCCCAACGATCAATTCACTTCATTTTCTTCTCTGAGCTTCGTGAAGATGTTTTAAGGCTTCCAATAACCTTAAAACTCCATGAAAACTTCAAAATCACGAGTGTATGAACAGTACACAAAATTAGGGTTCTTGGGTTCTCGGGTTTTCAAGGGTTCATGTCCAACCAAAAGTATAGAACAATTCCTGAGCTTGCTAGGAGTTCAAAGATGTCAACTACACCCACGATTCGTGACTAGAAGTGAAGGTTGAAGGTTGTCCGTACTGTTGTACGGAAATGGAAGAAAATCGAGAGGGAAGAGAGAGAAAGAGAGTCAACGGGAGAGAGAGTGTTTGTGTGTGGTCCTGATTTTTCTTACAACCAACCAAAACAATTAGAACCTTTAGTTCTAATTGGATCCAAAAGGTTAGGAAGAAAATAAGTAAACTAAATTGTTTAATTCCTTAGCTTATTTACACAACCCATAACTCAACTCTCAAAGGTAGAATCGACATTTCACACCATCAAGAAAAATATCTTGGGACGGGTTATGACAATATTAGCCACACAATTATATTAGTTTTGATTCAAAGGCTTAAGATATTCGACATCTTAAAGTTTTCTTATGGTTCAAGGATTTTAAGTTAGTTTTACTTTATTAAGTTGTCAAATATTTTAAGCCTTTGAATTTAAATTAATATGATCTTATAGTTAATATGCATTTGATCCTCATAGGCAGAGGCGGATCCACAGTGGGGTCAATGGGGTCGCACGACCCCTTGGAAGCCATGGAAACAACCTTAGAGACCCCTTGGAGCTGCTGGTGAGACCCCTTGGCTGCACACCAAGTGTTCGACGAAAGGTCTGAAAGAACCCCTGCCATGCTACTTGTCTTCCCGATTGTCCATACTGCAGGAAACCTCAAGGTAATTCTTGTTGAACAATCACCAACACGAGTATTGTGTTTTTCATGATTTGTTATTTTCATTTTTATTGTTGGGAAGGCGGCCATGCCAAAGGAGCTAGAGCTATGGATCAGGAAAAGTGGGAAATTGGCACGTCTAGCTCTCACGATCCTTATGCTGGAAAAGAATGCAGTGGAGGCTTGAATTTGGAAACTGGTTATGAAGACCATGATGATAAATCTGTCGAAATCTTGGATGATCTGTGCCCGAGAAAATCAAGGGATAAATCACTAGTAATGCCCAAGTTGGAAGAAACTGATAAACATGATGATGATTCTAATGATGATATTAGTAGAGATTCTGATGAAGTACAAGACGATCCAACAATACCTGAGGAGGAAGAAACAGATTATGAAGATGATGAGTCGGTCGAAATCTTGGATGACTTTTCACCCTGCCCGAGAAAAACAAGGGAGAAATCTCCATTACCATGTCTTCGGTGACACAAGAAAATGAGAACATGTTCGAGTAGTAAAGCAAGCAGAATGCAACACAAGACAGCTGATTTGTCTCTGCATCCCATGAGCCTTCTCCAATCAAAGTTGTATTGGGATCGAATGGCCTTCGATACCAGACGATATGCATGCCGTTTCTGTTAAAAAAAATTTGCGCGCTACGCGCTATCCTTATTGACCCCCCAAACATTATTTCCTGGATCTGCCACTGCTTATAGGTCCTCCAAATGAGGATGTTAGGAGAGCAAGACTGTCCTAATGCAGTCCACTCTAAAGGAAGAAAATCCTCAAATTTAAATAACATAAGTAAACCTCATGAATAATTGATTTTTTTGCTACACTCAAGTTTTTTCATTTTCAGCTTTACGTACCTATAAATTTGTCGTCTTACTTTCGTACTTGTACATCAAATTTTTCATCACTTGCATACGTCTGTTAGTCTAGCCCGTTACACATAGCGTGTGCAAGTGGGATATTTTGATATTTTGATATTTTGAATGTTTTACTTATCCCTTAATGTGTGTGTGTGTCTATTTAGTTTATTTACCTTTATATTATCTTATTTTACAATTTAATTGAGAGAAGTACAATTTTTTTAATGTTTTACTTAATGAATTGTTATTAACACTCCAAAATTTTTATCATGCATTCCAAACATTTTATTTTTGAAAAGAAAAATACACTTATGAAGAGTGCAAAATTAGATTTTTAGAGTGTCAACAACAGTTTCCTTTACTTATCCCTATATATATATATATAATTGATTAAAATAATCTAGTAAAAAGTAAAGCAATATTTTCTGGATTTAGCTGCCCTTAGAGTTTTAGTTTCTAAAAACTAAAAATTTGTGAGTATTGCCACTTATTACTATAGTCTAGTAGTATTCTTTTTCACTTGCCATTTAGAATCATAGTCTATTGGTATTCTTTTTCACTTATATAAGTGAAAGGTTTTTATGTTAAATTTTCGTTAAATGTGAATTTAAACCACATTATAAGCCTAAACTCACCCTCATCCCCCTAGTCTAAATAAAATCTTGTGTTAAAATAAAACATATAAGTATTGGTTTATAAACCTGTCACAATGTAGAGCAATGGCCATTTTAGGTAGCATCATTAGAACTTTTATCCAAATAAAAAGTTTAAAAGGACAGAGAGAACTTTTTTCAAGAAAATTGCTCATTGCTCCACATTGTGACAAGTTTAAAAACTAATACTCAGCATTGTACTCAAAATATTTGCACTTATGCATGAAACACAAATCGGCAAGTTTACGATTTCCTCCACATCTAACATAAATACTTTAATCTACAAACAATTAATAAATGCACAGTTTGAGAGCTATAAGTTCACTTCTTTAATTCAACTTATTGACATTTACTAACTTCAAATTAGAGGACCATTGGCCGGCAAAACTAGTGCCTCCCTTCGGGGTTGCAATTGTGTTTTCGCTTGTTGGAGATTTTCTACCCAACATGATCCATGTTTTAAAAAGCACATTGATTTTTTTTAGAAAATTGCAAGTGTTTCATGAAGCTTCTTTGAAAAGCACTTCCAAGTGTTTTTTACAACCTAAAAGTACTTTTAATTTTTTTGCTACACAGTATATGATGCATTTTTGGTGAATAAAAACACATATATATATATATATATATATTTTTTTTTTTAAAAACGATATTATCTACACTAAGGGGAGAGAGGATAGGGTTAGCCTCACAATGGGATGCAGAGACCGTACTACTAAGTGCATCATTAAACGATAATGTTAGTTCACTATTGCATAGCCTATATACTATAGCACCATACACCTCATCATCTGCCATGTGTTATTTCTCTTAACTTTGATTAATATTTTTCAAATTTGAAAAAATGAACATTTAATACGAAAGTTAACCAAAGTTAAGCGAAATGACACGTGACGGATGATGAGTTGTATAGTAAACATACATCATAATTTATAGTGGTGAACAAAAATAGCCTTTACTAGAATTGTCATTTTAGTATCCTCAATATGGAAATCATTAAATTCAATTGCTTTGTTTATTTATGTTTTGTGTGGTAAGTTCTCATAAATTCCATTACTAAATGGTGATAATTTTTTGTATTTGTAAATGAAAAATCTTAACCCTTCTCATTTTCTCCTTCTCTTTAGTTAGATGACATCGTCTCTTAAAAAAATGAGTAATTCGTAGTAATTAAAGTTGAAAAGAAAAAGTAAAAAGTAAAAAAGTAAGTATTGAATTCTTAATGAGGAGCGGGTGTAAAAAGAATTTGAACTTGGTGGCGGGGTTTATAAAGACAAGAAGGGGGTGCAGATAGACTATAGATCTTACACGATAGACTAACAAAGTAAAGCTGCATGTAAGACAAGTGTTTGGACTTTTGGAGTATAGTGATAAGATTGAAAGGCCAGTTTGGTAAAAATAATAAAAAATTGAATTATTTAAAAGTTACTAACAAACAAACCCTAACAAATTTTATCATATTTCCCAGCCAGCCCAAAAGCTCAGCCCGGATCTTCCGCAACTTGTTTCAGACAAAATTTCTTCCCCCAACCCCCATGTTATTTATTTATTCTCTCCTTATATTAACCCACGGCTTCTTCCCTCTGCTCCTTCACCTTCTCTCTCTTCAACTTTCAACTTCGCACTCTCTAGAACCCAACTCAACTTTGAAGCATTTGAGCTAGAACACAAATGGGTTTTGCATGCATGTGCTTACAAGTCCTTAATCAAGCTTAATTAGCCAGCTTAATCAACCTGCTTAACCTCGTGAGTATCGTACTTCAGTAACGCTCGAGGCAGTTTCAGTTTTTTGGGTGAGTGGGAGAAAAAATAGAAAATAAAAATTTGAAGTTGGTTTTTTCTTTCAAGTGGCTGTTTGTTTGCTGAGAAAATTTAATTAATTATTTTCTTTTTGTGACGATCCTTCCATTTTTTGATTCCTCAGATTTATTACAAGCTGACAAAAAGCAAACCCCAAACGTCTGTTAGTCGAATACAAATACAATGGCTCCAGCAAGCAATTGGTTGTCCTTCTCTCTCATGTCTCCCATGGAAATGTTGAGGTCCTCTGAGTCCGATCAATCTCCCTTCGTCCCCTATGACGCGTCCTCCGCCGCCTCCCCCCACTACTTCCTCGACAACTTCTATGCCAACAACGGTAAGTGGATGCTCTCTCTTTTGACCGATCGAGCTTTCTTTGTGCTCTGTTTGGTTGCCGAGAAAATAGTTTACAACCTGTTTGTGTTGATTCTTCACTGAGAAAATATGATTAAACAATTGTTTTGTGTTTTCGGGGTTTTAATCGCCGACTCAAATCCTACTTTTGGGTCACGTGAAAATCCGAAATACTTGTAATCTGTTTGGCTGACGAGGGAGGTGAATCGGAGCAAAAGTACAAAAAACTTCTGTTTGGTTGGCAAGAAAATATGAATGCTCTCTATATCTCTAACTGCATGTGCGTAATATTCACAGTTTTCGTTTTTTTTAAGGGTGGCCGACGAACCCAAAATCCCAAGTGTTTTTCGCGGACGGTGAGGACCAAAGCAAGCAGCAAGGCCAGTCCAGTTCACCAAATCTGTCACCGTTCGTCGACCCACAGAGCCACACTCAGCATATCCCGAAGCTCGAGGACTTTCTCGGCGATTCGTCATCGATGGTGCGCTATTCTGATAGCCAAACAGAGACCCAAGACTCGTCCCTGACTCACATCTACGACCAGAGCTCCACCTTCTTCGGCGGCGACCAGCACCAGCACCAGAACCAGCACCAGCAGCAGGAAGATCTCAAGGCGATTACTGGGTTCCAAGCGTTTTCGACCAACTCGGGCTCGGAGGTGGACTCGGCGTCCATGGCCCGGACGACTCAGCAGCAGCAGCTTTCTTGCACCGAGTTCGCGGGTCATTCTATTGAGTCGACCGGGAACGAGTTAGGGGTGTACAACTCGAGCTGCGCGGCGAATGCTTTGTCGCTTGGTGTCACCACCACTCAGAGCTCTTCTGATCAGAAAAAGGCCATTGTTGCCGTCGACACCGACGGTTCTAAGAAGATTGCTGATACTTTTGGCCAGAGGACTTCAATTTACAGAGGGGTCACTAGGTCAGAAGAATAAATCCATCCCATAATCCCATTTTTCTCAGTTAATTAATTAACCCATTAATTAATTGATTATTGATATAATGTTGATATTTTTAGTTTTTAGTTAATAGGGTTTTTAATAATTTTGGTGGGAATGCATGCATCTGGTGGGAATAATTAAGGGAGTTGGGCTTTTAAGTCGACTTTCTGTGTAAATTGCGGGGTTTGAGGATTTGACTGATTAATTTAACTGATGAGAGATAAATAAATATTGATTTTAAAAGGAGAAAGAGCATCTCTGACTCTAAATCTCTTTGTTGTATTTTTGGTGCAGACACCGGTGGACGGGTAGATATGAAGCGCATCTATGGGATAACAGCTGTAGAAGAGAGGGTCAGGCCAGGAAGGGGCGTCAAGGTCCCTCTCTCTCTCTTATTTTCTGCATTTTGTGTGTACAGTTCTAAAACATATATTTTTGTGTGCGTATGGATACGCACATGGGAATTTTCTCGTATGCTTCGAGGTGATCTAGGGTTCTTATACATGGAGAGTTTTTGCCGTTGTATCTTCTTCAATGATAACGCTGGAGTATAATAGAATTTTTGTGCGTAAGATATTTTTAGAGTGTAATAGAATTTTTGTGCGTAAGATATTTTTAGAGTGTAATAGAATTTTTGTACGTACAACATACGTAATGCATAGAGAAACAACTGTAGCACTGAAAAGAAGATTGCATGCAATATACAAAGGGAAAGCCAATGGGTCAATTTTATAGAGCGGAAGGGTGTCCTTTTTCATTAGTCACACATGATTGATTGAATGCTGCTATCTGTGTACCACAAATTACTGTTTTCTGAGTCTCCCATCATTTCTTTTCCTTTTCATTTCTCTGAATATATTTCTTTCTTTCAATCAGTTTTTGATTTGATCGGATGGGCCGCCATTTTTTCATCTGGGTTTTTTATATTTCCATTATTTCTTACATCTCTTTGTTCTCTCATCTGCAAATTTACTGAATTACAGAGCTCAATGACCGATATTTTTCTGACCACCTTCAACTTTTGGCTTTTGCTTTTGCTTTCGCTTTCAGCTCCCTCTCTACAATTTTGGGTTTGACCAAAGCACCCACTTGAATAAATTATTTTATTATTATACTTCTTTATTAACGCCAGAACTTGTTGAGAGTGACTTCCCTGGACTGGACCCTGATAAAGTGCCAGACCTAGATTCTGGTCCATACTTCATAAACTTCATATGCGTAGTTGTAGTATATACCTTCTAGTGATTGGGACTCACATCCATATTTTGATAGATAATCAACACTAATTTCATTTGTACTACGGTGAGCAGGATTCGAATTTGAGTACAAAGTAGAGAGCATACATATTCTAGTAAACTTGGCTAAATCCAAGTCTAAGTCTGCGGGCCATTGTTTAGATTAGGTTTCAATTTTTGGCAGCTATCACAGGCAATTCACGGCTCCTTTTTTTGACAAATGCACTTCCTTTTTTTTTTCAGAAATAATTATTGTTTATTAGTTAGATCAAGGGCTAGTCTACTTAGCTGATAATTTTGACTGCTGTTTAAGCTGATGTTGAAATCTTTTTGCTTTTTGCATAAAATGTGGGATTCTGGAAATCTTGCTGTCATTCAATATCTGATCCGATTCCACAGTTTACTTGGGTAAGATTTTTATCCTTTTTATTTACATTGGAACAAAAAGAAATTTACTTTTAATTTTGTAGCTTGCATTTTTGAGTTAATAAACTTGCTGTTGCTGTAATTGTTTCAGGTGGATATGACAAGGAAGATAAGGCAGCAAGGGCTTATGATTTGGCTGCACTGAAATACTGGGGTCCTACTGCAACAACCAACTTTCCTGTAATGCATATACTGTTAATTCTAATATATTTAGAATATTCTTTTGTTCTTGCATTGAAAATCTATCTGACAGAGAAGTGGACTGCAAAGTAAGCATTTGGTTTTTTAATTCTCAGGTTTCAACTTACGGCAAAGAACTGGAAGATATGAAGCATGTGACCAAGCAAGAATTCATTGCCTCTCTCAGAAGGTTTGCTCCGACAGACCCCTTTCGGATTTTTTTTTTCCGTCTGTTATGTGGTTAATTAAATATTTCTCCCCAACTTTTCACTTGCAGGAAAAGCAGTGGTTTTTCAAGAGGAGCTTCTATTTACAGGGGAGTTACAAGGTCAGTACGTCTATTTTCAAATCATTCCTTGTCAATATTCCTTGTTATATATGTTAGGAAATATAAACTAGTATATTCGTCCATGCATTGTTCAATTTAATATTGCAGGCATCATCAACAAGGCCGATGGCAAGCAAGAATAGGCCGTGTGGCCGGGAACAAAGACCTATACCTGGGAACATTTGGTAACACCTTTACCTGACTTGTTTTATTCAAACCTTTTATAGTTCTGCTTTTGGGCTTAAACGGTACTGCAGGGAGACATACTGATTAATTGACACCATTCAAGACTTAAAGTTAATCTTAATTTTTATTTTCAAGCATGAAAGTTTAATATACTCGGTTGATCGTTTAGTTTTCTCTGGATTAGTCTGATAACGTACCACGTATTGAATTGGATGCTTCTTGGTCTTTGGAAGAGCCAAAGAATTAATGTGCACATTTTGATAATCCCATGACCATTTATTGTCGACAGCTACAGAAGAGGAAGCAGCAGAGGCGTATGATATAGCGGCCATAAAGTTTAGGGGCATTAATGCAGTTACAAATTTTGAGATGAACCGATATGACGTTGAAGCTATTGGCAAGAGTTCTCTTCCTGTTGGTGGGGCAGCAAAGCGCTTGAAGCTCTCACTCGAAGCTGAAGAGCAGAAACCATCTGTGAGTCATGATCAGCAGCATCCTCAATGCAGCAGTGGCAACAACATCAATTTCACTTCCATGCAGCCAGTTCAATCCATACCATGCGGGATTCCATACGACGCTGCAGCTGCCAACGCTTATTATCACAACCTCTTCCACCAATTTCAGCCAAACTACTATGGCGCTTTGGATTCTGCTGGACTAAACCCTAACATTGCGACTCAGATGAACATGATGCCGCAGCAGCCAGCTGAGTTTTACATTTGGCCTAATCACCAATCCCATTAATAGGAGTACCATACGGTACTCGTCAGCGATAGGACTAAACAGTACTTGTTGTTTTGGCATGTTAGCCGCTAACATTATCCGGCTGACCAACATCTGACCCTCACTCCAATCCACCTCTCAACCTTAGGATTTAGGATTAGGAAAGGCGTAGGAGGTTTTTGTTTGGAGGTTAAAGTTCTGGATAGAGAGTAGGAAGCTGGGTTTTGTATCTATGGTGGGAAATGTTGAATGGTGTTATCCATTACTTTATTAAGAATTTTTCCTTTTAGATGTCTTTCCAAGCTTGCAGCCTTTTGATTTAGTTCGTTTTTTAATATGTGAAATCAGTCGGATAAGGGGCAGACTTGCGCATCGTTGCGGACGTCGGTGTTACAGCCTGACCAACTTGCCTTAATCTCAGCTTGCTACGACAAGATGATATTTTATTGAAAGTGATGTTGGAGAGATTAAATTTGTGGACAAAATTTTGAAAATTAGATGACACGAAAATTGATTGGATTATTACTTAAACGTTAATGAACGTGTTTACTTTTGTTAGTAGTACATCATTTAATTTACAAATTTTTAATCTCTCTAGCATTTGAAACTACATCGTAATGATTTAAACTTGAATGCACCGATGGTGTGCTCCAGCCAACTTGTGCCTAGTCTAAGTTTTTAAAGATGGGACTACTTAATAACTTGGAATCATAAGGAGACGCTAACCAATTTGCCTAATCTACGTCAGCTATGATAGCGGTCTCTTCGGTAAATATATAAATATTGGAAAGAAAGCTAGCTAAATACTGCTTTGTTACAAAATCTTTCCGCTTTTAAACCCGAAGACATAATACAATCTACTAAATTATACCACGTTCATGGGCTAGGGTTCTAACCGGTCCAAGCCTTGACGGCCAAATCCGACCCGGGATCAACCCTCAAGGCCGCTCCTCAAATTCCTCTCTGGCTTCCTCCCTCATCATCTTCCACTCGTAATCAAGGTATAAAATTCGATGATATCGGAAATATCGGTAGTAAAAAAATACGGAAATTTCGATCGAAATATCGGAATATTATCAATATCGATAAAAATTGAATAAAAACCACGGAAATTGTAAGAAAAACTTGGAAATTTTTATTGAAACTTTGCAGGATGTTTATTTAGTCAATTATTTATTAGTTTATCACAAAAAATTGGAAGGAAATGCATTGCATCATTGATTTAACTAATTTAAGTTGATTATATAGCGAGCTGGCAAACATTGTGAGTGTAGAAAATATGTAGTAATTAATGAAAAAAGTTTAAACACACCATAATCATTTATATATAATGAATTAGTACAATATTTTACACTTTATACATTGTATGGTAAGATACATGAGTGACTTAGTACCACATAGAGTTCCTATGAGATTCAAAATTTTCACTATCTTCATCATCTCTATGGGTAGATTTGTTTCTTGCAAAAATAATTCAAAACAAAACCATATATATAAATATTTGAGCATATTTTCTCAAAAACATAAGTGATATGGTGGTCAAGGTGTTGAAGGAGTAAAATGGGAGGGGTTCGAATCCCTTGGTGTTATTTAAATATAGAAATTTATCCTAGATAATAAATATTAGGGTAAATTACATAAAACTACCTCAACTATTAGGGTTTTATTTATTTATTTATTTATTTTTTCTGGGTTGCAGGTAGTGGGTGCGGCGTGTAACACCCCAACCCCTAATTATATGTATAATTTCGTAAGTCCTCTAAAGTTTTATTGAGATTTCATTTTGGCTCCCCCCATTTTGATTAAATTTGGACCCTTTATCTAGATTCCTAAACACTCCCAAACTGCCACGTGGCAACACCATATCACTCTTCACTCTTCTCTCTTTCCGTCCCCTACCCCGTGACCCTCTTTCCTTTCTCTTTCTTCTTCTTCTTTCTCTGCACTCTATCTCTCTCTCGAAACCCTTTATCTCTTCCCTCTTTGTCGCCGAGACACACACGGCAGCAGCATCGTGCAAACATCATTACCATTAATATCATCGTCATCAAACCTCGTCTTTCTCCCTCTCCTTCTCGTCTCTGCAACTCGGCGAACGCATGAACTCTCCGACAAGCTTCTTAATCTTCTCTGGTTAGGTAAGTTTCGGGTTTTCCTCGTTCTGTTCTAGATTAAAGCTTAGATGTGAATTTTTAAGTTCTATCTCATGTTTTTCCAAGGTTTTTGGGACGAAATTAGCTCGGGATTAGGCACACCCATCTCCGGTGAGGCCATGGGTGTCTAGAGGTGTTCCGACCACCACAAGTCGTTTCACGGCAAACGAAAATGGTTCGAGTGGGTCCCGCTGTCGAACGAATGGGATCCGATTACTACCATATCGTTGGGAGTCGTTCACCGCCACAGAGAACAACGCAGCGGCGGCTGAGGGTCTTCAAGTCACCAATCTTATTGAAGATGAGGAGGAGGAGGGAGTCCAGGAGGCGATCGAAGAGGTCGTCGTCAACAAGGGAGTAGGGTTCCAGACGACAACGACGAATTCCTTCGATAATATCGTAATATATTGACGATAATTAAGTGGATACTCGTGAAAATATCACCCTCTCACAAAACCGATATTATCAACGAAATATCGCCGATAATATCGATATTTTGGTCCATACTAGTAACACTGACCCAACAGACAAAACGCCGTCGCATCCCCCTCCGCCCGACCCAGCCTGACCGCATCCACCAGGTCTTCAACCGCCGCCTCCTGTTCAGCCCGAGCTTCAACTCGGCCCTCTTCACCAGAGCGTCCCCGCGCTCCTTCTCAGAGAGCGTCTTCACGCACGGCGGCGACAGGGTCGCATCAAACGATTTCAGCACGGAGGTCTTGTGCCCCAAGAGATCGAGCTTTAGGGCTTTGAGGATGTGTGGGCCCGGATCCCTGGGTGAGAGAGACAGCGCCTTCTCGGCCTCCGTCAGGCGTTTTTGGCGTGGGCCTGGGATTGGGCCTTGTGGGGAGTGGACCACGCTCGGGTCAGGAGCTGCGACCCGTGGATGAAGTGGCGGGTCGATTGGAGGTTGGCTTGGTTATTGGTTCGGAGTTTGGTAAGGGCGTTTCTGGAGAGTTTGTGTATGGCGAAGAACACCGCTAGGGTTAGGATCAGAAGGCCGACCTGCAGCACCACCTCTGATGTCATTAGATTGAACGGTTGTGATTGCAATAGTGATAGGTTGATTGTTATCCAATTGGATCTGGGTTGTTGATCTGAGTTTGTCGCAGAGAACAGAGGCGAACTGAACCTGGGTGGCTAACTTACCGGTTAGTGTTTGTGCATAATGATGTGCATGGTGCTTTTGCAAATGTTATTTTCTTTATGGTCCCAAATTTTTCATTTTTTACATTAATGAACCAGTGCAAAGATGGAGTAACAAATTGATCAAGGAAGACTTTCAACTTGATTCAGAACTGTTTACTTGATGAGAGAACATAAATACAACCATCATGGGGTACGCCTTGTTCTAACAAAAGTAACTTCCTTTTGCTAGATATTACGACATGTTATGTTGTCAGGTTATCAATCACGATTGTTCAACTAGTGGAGCATTGACGGCGTTCAACGTTTGAATGTACAATGTTCCAATTGATCGTTTGGTAACATAACATACCATGCCACAACGATAACAAAATGCCACTTTTCCTAGTATTCTCTACAAATATGTAGCAATCAATCAACAGTTGCTTCAATTTGAGAGCCTGAGGAGATACACGGCAAAGGGGTACTACAATCCCAAAACTTCCACACTAATAGCTGACAAGGTAACAACAACAAGAGGCTGCAGGAGAAAGAGGAATGGAAAGCAAAGGCAGTCTACTGATCCAATACGAGTTGCCGGTGGCGGTTGAGATCGCTGAGGTAATTCGAACAAGTGTAGTCTTCCAAGTCACAAGACTCTAGAACCAGTGATCTCACTGCTGTAGATTTCTGTCTCAACTGATCTGCGACGCCATCCTCTCCCTTTAGCATCTGCACTACCTGCACTCTCACCAATTTGCATCGTTAGTCCATCTTGCATAACGGTTGGAAAACAAATTAACCCGAAACAAGAAACTGATCATACCCGATTCATATACGGACGCCTTGTGGATTGATGACTGATGCACATTGAAGCCGTCACCATGGCTCTTTTCATCTCAATCGGATCATATGCATCTTCGAACAGAGGATCTGCTAGCTCCTTCATATTACTTGCATCTAGAAGCGGCTTTGCCTGTGTATAACACAAGAAAAATTGGCTATTGAACTTGAGATTTAATGATACAATGACGTTGCTGTCCTAATTCTAACCCTTTCTGGCACCCGTAAGCATTTGGCAAAGGCAAAAGTGGGGATAAAAATGCTATTTAGTTTTACATAACAGATGCTTACCCAGATCACAAGGCTTTGCTGAGTTGAATCAACTGCACGGCGACCTGTTATGAGCTCCAGTAATAAAACCCCATATGCAAACACATCAGTCTTCTCGTCGACAATTCCATGCATAAAGTACTCTGGAGACAAGTACCTGAAACAATTTGAAGGTCCGTTAGCCTAAAAATCTCTACGACAGATGAAAGTTAGCAATCATAACTGATCAACAATTGAAACTGCGCCCTGACCCGAATGTGCCTTCAATAGGGAATACAACATGGTGAGTCCATTTTTCTGGGAGCCACTTTGCTAGTCCGAAATCAGATATCTGCAGTAACAGTAAAATAGAACTCCGATTACATTTAGAAAATCCATTAAGAAGCATATATGACCAGACCGGAAGAACACAAAGAATACCTGAGCTTCATAATCTTCGGTTAGTAATATATTAGAGGCCTTGATGTCCCGGTGAATGATGCGCCTGTGGCAATCGTGATGGAGATATCGCAAACCTTCTGCTATCCCAATTGCTACCTTAAACCTGATCTTCCAATCCATACATTCTGCTGTACCTGATACGCAGAATATCTTCTCATCAGCGAAACTGAAATACGATGCTGGAAGGAAAAAAAAAACAAACAGAATAAGAAACTTAGAAGACAAATCCGGTACCAAAGAGTAGAGAAGCTAAGCTGCCGTGTGGGGAAAATTGCAGGACAAGGTGCAAACCACTGTCGATGCCAAAGCCAAGTAGGCGAGCAGCATTCGGGTGTCTTATGTGTGCAATAATCCCAACCTCTGCCAAGAAATCGCCAACTCGATCCTCGTTTTCTTTCTCTTTCTCTTTCTTCATTAGCCTCTTGACTGCTACAATTGTACCATTGGATAAGAACCCCTTGTAAA